TACCAACTTCACAGGGAGGTAGGTACTTTCCAGGCCCCCGCACGGTGTTCATAGAGTATGAGAGCCACCTGTGACCTGTCCTGCTGAGCATGGGCTAGCTGGTTGTTGCCCAGACTCAGACCCTGCTTTTGGAGTACCTGGCACTAGATTAGGGTTTTGAATACCTTGCCCATGTGTCTCTTTTGCTCTTCAGTGCCACCCAGAGGGACATCCCCACTTTCCCTGGAGAGTAGGTATGGAGATTAGCCACATTCCAAATATCTGCTAGGGGCTTGGATCTACAGAATATGACTTTGATAAATAATTTAGCACCAGGTATAATAGCTCCCAGGATCAGATTTGGTGGCTGAGGCGCCAGGGGGCACACCCACTGAGTAAGCTGTAAAGGGATCTGCATGCACGTCCATTGGTCAAGAGAGTTATGATGACAGATTGATTCACAAATCTCTGGATATCTAGAAGTTCTGCCTTTTGAATGGACCCTTGGGTTTCCACGTGTATGAGATGCCCATCTCTTCCCTCTCCATTCAGCAATATTTTCTCATTCATCCTTAAGCTCCCAGAGCCACGTTGGTTACTCCTTGGTCTTGAACTCTTGGGCCTCTCCCCATAGCCAGGGTTCAGCATGTACATATCCTTGCCTGTGAGGCTGTGCTGGGTTCCCTACATGGGTCTGGACAGCACTATCAGCTCTCTTTCCTAATTGCCTGAATTCCCTTGGTCAGAAGAAGCATCTCCAGTGACCATACACACTCCTTGCTGCACGCCTCTGGCTCAGGGTGGCCCCTGCTGAGCAGCCACAAGTGATATGAGCAGGAACCTCCTTGCTCCTAAACCCTGAGTCTTGTCTGGGGGGGGATGATAAAGGAAAAGGAGGGTAGTGGGAGACTGGGATGGCAGGGGACCCAAGCCACATCTTTCTTCCCGGTCTTCTTCTGGGGACTGAAAACCACTAGGGTTGGCAGAAGCACACTTCTGTCTGTCACAGGAAATAGGTGTTTCCCCTCACATCTTCTATGAAGGCCACTTGGAGTTGAATTTCCCCTTCTGGAAGCTGAAGGTATCTAACTGGAATAAGTGAAGACTGTTTTCCCACTTTCTTTTTAGTTGCCCATCCTCTGGGATGAGGATGCCAGTGGGGATGGTGACCTCATCTTTGAGAGATGATAAGTATCTGCAGGAAGCTTTCTGTTTCACAAAGGCTGGAGTGGCTCTCTGGGGCACAGTGAACATGGCCCAGAGGCATGGAGCTAGAGACTTTAAGCGGGGAGCAGAATGCCCTGTGCCAGCCAGGTTCTCAGCTCAGAAGCCATCTTAAGAGCTCTGTTGCTGCTTCGGAAGCTCCTGGCAGAGGCCCAGGGTTCAAGGAGAGAGAGAACATGAAACTACCAGGTGGCATTAGATGTGGGAGGCATGGGAGCACATCACTGAATCAGCTATCTACTGCCATGTCTGGAGCCACTGCTAGAGCCACAAGTGTGCATGCAGTCTTGACTCTTGAGATGCAAAGGGAATTGAGTGGTACTGGGGGACAACAAGTCTGCTTATCTCTGAACATCCTGACAGCTTAGGCACCATGCTACTGGAGGGGAATGGGTACATTCATCCTGATTGAAAACCTATCAGCCAATGGTGGTTTATTTCCAGACAAGGGTCCAGTTGATAAAGAATTTATTTATTTACACACTTTTGTGTATAAAAAAAGAATTTATTTATTTATACACTTTTGTGTAAGGGGACTGTCCAGATGGAAATGCCTGGAAAACATTATACTGTCTCTTATGCCAATTCAGAGTTGGCTTGCTTCCTCCTTCCCCCAGTGCACTTTTCAGGTTACTCTGCAGCCAGGAAACTGCAAGTGGGGAGTTCAGCTATGGGTACGTGAAGTGAGGAGGCTTTCTTTCCACATGAAAGACAAACATTTTAGAAAGAGAGATTTTTGGCCCAGCCTAGAATGTGAATGTAATACCTGGAGCTGGAGCACTCACCCTATGACCATGAGGCTGAGATCACAAAATAAGGATGGATCAGGGAGAGGCTGGGGGCCTGAGTTCTGGAGAATATCTAGAGTTTCTGCATCCTCAGGTATTTCTGTTACAGAAGCAACAACAGCTGTTCCTGTCTCAGTCCCTTGCAGCCTAATGCTATTCTGGACATATCTTCATTAAGGGGCTTAGATAAGTGACTTTCTGCACTGCTTCCTTTCTACCATAAAGGCTGTGAAGAGAGGCTGAGTCTGTTTCCTGGTTGGGGTTCTTATGTCTTTTCTGTTTCTCCTCATCACCCTCAACCCCTGTGCAATAGAGATTGAATTGCTAGGGTCTGGTATTCACCAATTTCCTGCAGCCTGTCACAGGCCCAGAAGGAAGGTATCATTTATGGTTTCCAGCATCCCTGAGGGGTGTCTTAAAAGTGTCTCTCTAGGGGATACTGGGGAGCTATTTTTTGTACTTAAAGGCTCCAAGTCTGCAGAGCCCTTTTGTCCCCTCAAGGACCTGTCACTGATCAGAAGCTACCCAGGGTGTGGGAGCTGCTCCTATGTTCTCTGCCTCTGCAGGATTGTGTGAAGGCAGCAGAGCAGCATCTGCCCTTCTGCAGGTCAAGAGTACTGGATGGGTGAATGAGCAGAGCTGATCAATGGCTCAGAGGACGGGTCTAGCAGGCTGTTCACAGCTGAGTGGGAGCCCTGGATGCCCCACTGTGGCTGCTTATATAGTGAACTCTGGCCGGAGCCCATTGTCAGGGGAAAAAAAAAAAAAACCCAAAAAACAGGTCCTCAGGAGCAAAACCACCCACACCTCTGCAACACTCCTGAGAAGGGCCAGGCAGTAGCATCCTCCACAGTTGTCTTTTTATTGAATGATCCCTTAATACTCATTGGAAAAACACCCAAAAGCAGAATCTAGAGGGCCTAAATGACAGCTCAGTGCCTCTGTGAGGAGGCCTTGGGCATCTGAACCCCTTGTTCAGCTATGGGAGATGTCAATCCTGGGATCATCATTCTTCGGGGGCCACAGAAACTTTCCAGGGCACTGAAAAGGGAGGCCAAGTCCCCAGCCTGAGTTCCAGATCCTGAGAAAGGCCTTCTCACCTTGCAAGAGCTGTAGCAAGTCCTGAGAAGAGCTAAAAACCCAGGGAAGGCTGGGTACACTGGCACTGCCTGTAGTTCCAGCTACTGGGAGGCTGAGGCAGGAGGATCACTTGGGCCCAGGAGTTTGAGACCAATTTGGGCAAGATAGAGAGATCCTGCCTCCAAAAAGGAAAAATGAAAATTCAGGAAGGAGGTGTAGGTGCCATTGGACACAAAGCAAAGAAACAACAACAAAAAAGGTGAAAGACCTCCCAGGTTTTAGTGATTCAATATTTCTTTCTGTGGCAGTATGGAGAGGTCTATAAATAATAAAGAAGATATTCCTATTACAGCTGGCTCCAGTCTCTGTCTCCTTTTCATTCCTTACATCCCCACCTGCACCAAATGTGTGATTTTTCTGAGTCTCCATCAGCTGTTGGGAAGGGGAACAGCTCCTCACCCCTTTACTCCTGAGGAGCAGGCCAAGAGGCAAACACATTGATGAGCTGAAGGAGGCAGAGTTCTGTCGATATATCGTGTGCATCCCTTCCGCGCCAGCTATCTTCAGGAAGGGGTAGCCTTCGGAAGCCCTGATGATGGCGATTTTAGCACTGTATTTACCTCCCAGGCTACACACTCATTGTAAAAGGATAGAATTGAACACCCTGCGCTTCCTGCCCTGTGGGAGGCCTGGACAAATCCCTTGGAATTCTTGGGACTATACCCAAAGGCAGGGACCCTGAAACTAGCCTAGCCTGCCTACCCTTCAGTCTTCTAGGACATAATCTGCCTATAGTGAAAACAAGAATGATAAGAGATTCCCCTCCCAACTCAGCTAATCACACAGCTATCAGGGCTAACAAGAGAAAACAGCAAACTTAAAACAAAAACAAAAACAAAAACAAAAAACACCCAAGTTCCCCAGCAAAGACATTGTATTGACTGAGAACAAGTCCTACATGTGCCTAGGGCAGGTGGCTGGAACTGTACAGTGTGCAGCCTGTGGGACAGCCCAGTGACCACAAAAGTACTGAAATGGTTACTTGTGGAAACTTGGCTGTAATTAAGGGAAATATCAACCACTTGATTCAGAAGCTTACTGTAGAGCAGGGTGGGTAAACATTTCCTGTACAGCAGTAGTTAGTAGGCTACCCAGACTATGTGGCTACTCTCAACTCTGCTGTAGTAATGCAAAAGCAGTCACAGATAATGAATGTGTCTATTCCAACAAAAGTTTACATATAAAAATAGGTGGTGGGCCATAGTATTCTAATCCCTGCTTTAGATGAACTTTCTTTTTAAAATTATTACTCAGATAAATTATAGCTATATAAATATGCATGTACTATATTAACAATAATTGGTCTTAGAAGTAATTTTTAGAAACCCCTTTAAAATAGGGACACTGTCTTTCAAAAAAACTAGAAGATTTTGAAAGCTTTCGACATAAAGCACTGATAAATGTTTGGAGAGAGAAAAAAAGTGTTTAAAGAGATAGGTATATGTTTAGCCTGATTTGAAGATTATGCAGTGTGTACAGGTATCAAAACATCACATGGTATCCCATAAATGCATAATTTTATGATCTAATGTATCAGTTAAAATAAAATTTAAATTAAAAATATATTTGCATACATGTGAAAAAGGAACAACTAGGAAAGGCCATTTAAGCCTGGTGGAATTATTATTTTTGTTCAATTTTTTAAATGAAACATTGTCTTTGACATTGTTATTTTTAGTGGAAACATTTGCACACACGTACAGTAGTTTTACATAGAAACCATCCCTGCTGTGTGTGCACAGGTGTGCTTCTAAAGAGAGCTGTCCGCATTCTACCTCTTGCATCTTTTCTGCCCACCGAGGCTGTCCCTTTCCATGGCTTTGCCCTCCCCAACCCCTGTGTGCCCTGTCTCTCAGGGGCTAGGCATACCTTGTTCTCTTTGCTGGTCTCTCTGTTCCATGGACACGAGAGCTGAGAAATGCGCTTGATCATAGGCTAGAACCAGAGGTGAGCAGTGACATCTGTTGGGAGGTACCTCCAAAGGCAAGTAAATTCCTCCGAAAGGGATGGGTGCAAAGGCTACAGACAAAAACAGGGGAGAGGCTTGAGGAGCAGGAGGTTCTGAACCAGGAGGGGAGGAAAGGGTGACACAAACAATACTGAGGGCCAGGGCTGTCAGGTTTCTATGGTGATCTGCTCTCATCCTGGATAGCTGGATGCCCTAAGCTCTGTGGTCAGGGATGAAACCAAGATGGTCAGAATAACATGCTCTTCAGTCCACTTGGAAAGCCATGTGTTTTCTGGATGTATCTCTCCCTTTCCTAGTGTCCATTAAAATGTTTGCATATAAAACAATATCTTCACATCTTTAGAGTGTGTTTGTTCTTTATTTTGAGAGCCTCTTCTGTTGAATCAGAAGGAAGGAACCAGAGAGCTCTAATACTAAGCTGAAAGTCAGCCAGGAAATAAGAAACAGGGTCCAATTCTTGGGTGATGAGACACAATCTTGTGTTTCATTAATCATAAAAAAGAGGGAAGTGAAACCCAAAATCTTTGCCGAAACAGACTCACTTCTGGAAATATCTTCCCTAAAACAGCATCAGTACTTTGACTGTAAAGACTTGCATCTGGCCCCAGTCAGGGATACATGGCATTCCTCTGAGCACAATGCAGGAAGAGTCACCTTCAGTGCTGTCTTTGTTGACTTCTTGGGTTCCTTCCCTACCCTTGCTCTATCTATATTGGTCAGTGCAAGGGAGAATCCTGCAAGAGGTGAGGATCCACCTGAAAGAGGCTGCAGGAAGAATGGATGGAAGTGGGTCTGTGGGCATTGGGAGCTGGGCTTGCATGGCAGGGCCCCAAGTGAGTACTGTCACTGCTCTTGAAAGCTGCAGCCTTCAGCAGGCTTTGGGTCCCTGGGCCTCACAGAGAAGGCTGTGGCAAGAGGAAGGCCCCTGTGTTCTACTGGACTCCTGCCCATGTAACATTCATGGCCAGATTGGACTTTCTCAGTGATTTATCATGAAGAACCACAGCCTAATTTGTAGATTCCCTGGAAGATTGTTAAGGTGCAGGTTTAAATTTAAGTGGGGCTGGAGGAACATGCTGCTGGGCTACTCACTGTCTGGAATTGCCTAGCTGGAAATAGGTTCATAATGGTCATGGGAGTGAAGAGAGTGAAAATTGACTAGAGGAGGGGTTGAGAGGTGAGGCAGGTGCATGGGGGACCAGAGGGTGTCACGCATCCCACCATCGGGCTCTTCCTCCTTCCCGCCTCTTCAGAGAGTATGGCAGGCCCCATGGGCTCCAGGGTGCACCCTGCCATGACTCTAGCAACTCTGGGAGGCTGTAGGTTTGAGGGAGGACATATGGTGCAACACTCCCTGCCCTGGGATGAACCTGGATGGGGACACTGCTTAACCTTTCTGGCCTTCAGTTTCCTATCAGTAAAGTAGAAACTGTGGTGACTTCACACTTTCTATCTTCCTTTCTTTTCTCTTTGACAGTTGTGTACTCTGCATAGGGGCAGGAGGGGACTTAAGTGGCCGAGCACCCAGGGAGACAAGGCCTGGGGCTTTTGGAGAGAATAGGCTGTCTGTTGTGCTCTGGATGTATGATGGGGGCTCCTAGCAGTCCAACAGCCAGATTTCTCAAGGCTACCTGATGTCAACTTGCAAGAAGATGGGCAAGAGCAGTGCTGCGGCCACCTGCTGCCTCCAGGGAGGAAGAAGAACTACAGGGAATAATGTGATCTTTGGGCAGAGGGAGGCTTGGTGGCCTTCTGGGAGCCTAAAAACTCCCAGAAAGAACATAATGAACAGAAGAAGGTGGCTGCCTGTTCTTCTAGGGGGACGTTGAAGCTTTCTGGGCCATGATGAAACAGCTCCTCGAGGCACTCACCCTCTCCACCTGAGTCTCTCAGCATTGTATCTGCCACGACGACAATCGGTCTTCTTAGTATATGGGCTAAGACAAAAACGTGGAACTCCTCCAGGCTCTCGTACACAGGGTCCTCAGAGTTGTCCACACTAGGGAACAAAATAAAGTAAGCTTGTCATTAGACTAGATCGGAATGGAGGAAGGAGAAAATGGAAGGGACTCCGTAGGGACTGACCATTCCCTCTCTGGATCCTATCCTCAGAGTCCTGGCCAGCTGTGCCATCTAAGGATACCTTCCATGCCATCCACCAAGGGCAGATGCACAAGTCCCAGCTTCCCACTCCCACCCTGGGTTGTGTGGTCTCAGGGGACAAGTCAGAGAGAATCTGCAGGTGAGGGCTGCTGGCCAGAATCTGCAGGTGAGGGCTGCTGGTCTCTCTGCAGGTACAGATAGCCCACCAGAGCCTGTGGCAGCTGGGCAGCTTGTTCTCTGGGATGTTTAACAAGGATGCAGTGGAGGCTGGAAGATGGAGCCTCCTCTTCTGTTCATTTCTACATACAGAAGCTGAGGCTGAAGCCTCATGCCTCAGAGTCTCCAGGAACACCCAGGGAACATAAGACTCCAAATTAGTGGGGTTCATTGCTGCCAACATCTGAAAAACCTTCTAAGCAAAACTCTGATGGAAGATTCAGGGAGAAGGCTGCCTGCATTTCAACCCTCAGAGTGGGAGGGAGGAAGTCACTGTGAATGTGCAACCTATCTACCTGGGGACCTTCCTTAGCTCATGCCTCTCGCTCCTGCCTGAGGCTTAAGGAAAGAGTGGGTGCCAGGAACTGCTTTCACTCAAACTCTCAGATGTTTGGGCAGAGGACTGGAGCCTTGATGTCCCCCAATAACAGGGCCACCTTCAAAGGGAAGATCACATAGAAAGGAGAGCTTACAATGTGATGGGAGTATCAGCTATACCCACAGTGCCAGCCAGGTGGCAGTGTCCAGCCAAGACCACATGGAAGTTCTGGGGTTTGCTACTGAGCACCCTAGGGATGCCCCAAAGTAAGCAAGGGAGATCTCTGAAGACTAGATGGGTGGGGCCGCAGCCAGCAAATGCAAGCTTATTTGAGAATATAGTCACTATTTGCATCAGTGGGTTCTACATACAAGGGTTGAAAATATATCTAAAAAAATTCCAGCCAAGTGTGAAAACACACATCTGTAATCCCAGTGACTGTGAAGGCGGAGGCAGGAAGATCCAGCCTCAGTAATTTAGTGAGGCTCTAAGCAACTTAGTGAGACCCTATCTCAAAGTAAAAACAAAACAAAACAAAAAGGACTGGGGACATAGCGCAGTGGTAAAGTGCCTCTGAATTCAATCCCCACAATGAAAATAAGTGAACAAATGAAATATTCCAGAAATTTCCTAAAGGAAAAAGTTGAATTTGCTGTGCTCCAAGCACTATACTACATCACATGAATGAGTGATGCGGAGGCATATCTTGTTTTAGGTATTACTAGTAATCTAGGGAGGATTTAAAGTACATGGAAGGGCATGCTAGGCTATATGTAAGTACTAGGCCATTTTATGGAAGGGACTTCAGCATCCTTGGACTTGGGCAGTGAGGCTGGAACAAGTCTCGTGCAGATACTGCACGGGTTGGCACAGGCCTGAGGAAATAGCTCCATGTTCCTATCTCTCAGCCAACTAATTCAATTATTTCCAGAACAAAGGCTGTGATTTTTGGTGGTATGGTTTTGATATTAGGCGTCCCTCAAAAGCTCATTTGTGAGACAATGCAAGAAAGTTTAGATGAAATGATTGGGTTATAGGAGGTTTAAGCTAATCCCCTGATAGGGATTAATGTGGAGGTAACTGGGTCCCTGGGGTTGTGCCTTTGGGGTATGTACTTTGTCCTTGTTGAACAGACCTCTCTCTCTGCTTCCTGAGCTACCTTCCTCCAGCACACTTTTCTGCCAGGATATTTTGCCCCAAGGAATGAAACTGTTTATGGACTGAGAGCTCTGAAACCAGGAGCCCCCAAATAACCTTTTTCTGTTCTAATTTTTCTTATCAGGTCTGTTTAGTCATAGCAGTGAAAAAGTTGACTAAAACATCTAGGAAAATTATAAAATCATTTATATTATAAAATATAAATTATAATTATATAATATAAATATTTTTATAATTTTATAAATTATAAAAATATTTATATTATAATGCCTATATTTTTTCTTTTCTTTTCCTGATTCAATTTACCTTATTTTAATAATTCAAAATGTTTGGAAGCAGTCCCACACCTTGGCTATTTGGAAATAAATCTCTAATCTGATGCCCAATTACTCTGGAGAAGTTTAGTGTGTATTGCTATGAGCAGGACGTTCTTCTACACAACCAGAACACAAAATCTGAAATTAACAAGGATACATCAAGTCACCAGACCCCATTCATGGTGGTGTGCCAGTTGTCCCAATAATGCCCTTTAGAACAAAGGCTCTGGCTCAGGATCCTGAGCTGCTCTTAGCTGTGATGCCTTAACATTAGATTCTCTCAGCTGGAAATGTTTCTTAGGATTTCCTTGACTTCTATGATCCTGACACTTGCATGACCTTGAAGATTATAGGTCAGGCCTTTCACAGAATGAGTTTAATTTGGGTTTCTCTGTTTCTTCATTAATAAATTGGGTCACACTGAGTCCTTGTGGTTTCTTATCAGGTGGTGTGGAATGGCAGGCAGGTTGTCCCACTGTGGGAGATGGTGACTTGGTCACTCTTCATCTGCCAGGGCTCACTCCTGCAGAGCAGCTTGTTTCCTCTATGGAATTAGGAAGCATTGTGTGGGGGAGAACTGTGAATATATGCAAATCCTCCATACCTCACTCAACCTTTATACACTTACTAACAACACTAGGGATTTCTGGTTTTCTCTTTTATTCAATGGTTTATAATACATTTGTGATATTTTAATGCTCAAATATTCTTTGATTTTGTCATTGTGACTTATTTCAGTAGTTCTACATCCTTAGAGTACCCTCCTATCAAGTTTTGGAGCAGTTTCTTGATCCTTGGCATAGGTGGTTGAAGTTCATACCTACACATGTAATTTGCATCTTTAGTTTCATGTCTCTTTCTCTCTATGATCTACTTTAATGTTTACAGGAAACATGAGTTCACTGATACCTCCAATTCTAACTCAATACTGCAAAGTTCATTCTACTTGTAACTTTCTTCTCCAAAAGTGAGAAGCCTTATTTCTATTAATATTATTATTATTTTGCATTCATTTGATCAGTCTCCTGATTTGTGAGCAATCTCCCATCTATGCTGGAATCTCCTTATCCCACCTGAAGTAGTCCTCTTCACCCTCTTTAGGTCTGACCATGATCATATTTTGATTCTCCCATCTTACATTCTCTGCAGATATCCACCCTGTTTTGCCCCACTTAATGGCTTAAAGGCAGAATATCTTAGGAAGTGATGGAAAGAGGAAAAGGCATGTTTTTAATATGTATTGATTTTAAAAATATATATCATCAGTCCTCTGTATCTGTGGGTTTTGCATCTGTATATTCAACCCACTGCAGATGAAAAATAATACAAAACAATTGTATGCACTTATTTTCTTATCATTAACTATTCAGTATAACAACTACTTACATAGCATTCACATTATATTATGTATTATAAGTTTATGGGATTATATTCATGAGTTCTATGCAAATATTTCATCATTTTATCTAAAGAACTTGAGAATCTGTGGTTTTGGTATCCTTGGGGGTTCTGGAACTAATTCCCTACAGATACACGGGAACATGAACAAAAATTTTATATGTGTATGTACTATAAATACACACACGTAATATACACACACACATATATATATATACACATACTTACATACACATTTATAATATTTATATGTATATATGTATATGTGTGTGTGTGTGTATATGTATATGTATGTGTGTGTGTGTGTGTGTGTGTGTGTATGCCAAGTCTAAGCACAATGCTCCTGGGTGTGCATTTTCAGCACCTCAGGTGATTATCCTTGCCCATCTGAACCTTAGAGCCAATATGCAGGTGTTCAGGGTCAAGTACTTCAGTAGGTTGCTTGTTCATCTCTGTCACACAGTACTTACTCACTGAGTAAGTATCAGGCAAGTGGATGGGTGAACAATACAACAAGCAGCACAAAGAGGAGAGAACATGGAGTAACAACCAGCACACTCAGGGAAAAAAACTCTCTGATTAGAAACGTGGAGTACTGCTCCTTCCTTAATTCAATGAATAGAAAGGTCACCATCGAAAAGAGATGAGCTGTTCATGAGTCAGATATTGAGCTGAAAGAAGGAAGGCCACTCCATGATGGAACACTCTGGCATCTGAATGGCTATGCAGAGGGACCCCACTGTAACAACAGCAAAAGGGCTAAGTACTAGGCACCACTGTACTGGCATGGCATTCTTCTCATGCAAAATTTGAAGTAGGTCATTGTGTTTCAAACTGAAAAAACAGAAAATGTTCATTGAACATTTAATATGTGTTGGAGCTATGAAAGGCACTCTAAAGGCCTTCAGGTTAACTAGACCTCATGTCACAGGCATCTATCTACTCATTTATCCATCCATCTATACATTCACCAACTGTCCACTCATCCATTCATCTGCTCATCCACCCACTCCCTGCCCATCCTAGTGCTATAACAGGGCTAGGGCATGGAGTTGGGCCATGCCTAGCATGCAGGCTTGTGGCTGGACACTGGCAGCAGCTGTTGAACACAGGTGCCATCTCAGCAAAAGAGAAACTGCTCAGTGACTCTGAAGGTGGCAGAAAGGGTCTTATACACACATATACACATACACCCCCCCCACAATAAGATTTATGTATATTTTTTTCTATTTCTCTGGAGAATACTGACTAATATATAACTTAATATTTTGAATCTATGCTTCTCAGTTCTTGGCATTGATAATAATAGCTTCAAACACCTACCTGACATGCAATTGGAGCTCAGTATGTGGTACTGTTCTAATTCCTATCTAACCACACTAAACCTTCTCCAATCTCTGGGGAATCCTGGCCCCCTAAGAGAGCCAGCCCTCCCTACTCTGACTCCCAGACAAAGTCTGTGCAGGGAAATGGATGAGCACCCATTAGTGGGGGCTAAGCTTTGCTCCCTGTCTCCTCATGTATTGGATCTGAGTGATGGTGTGTGTGTGGCTTGAGGAGAGTGGTCAGCTCCATGCCTCCTGGCCCTGGTTCTAACTCTTTTATGTACTTACAGGACTATGTCCTTAGCATTCAGCTAGGGTTTGAAAGACAATCAAAAGAAAGGGTTTGGTTGGACTGCACCATGAGGATGCTGCAGTCTGAATGGGCAGACAAAATATAATATAATGAAATCTCAAAAGAGCTGGTGCTCAGAACGGGGCTGTGTATACTTCAGGGAAACATCTCTCTGGGTAAGAAACAAACCAACAAGTGGAACCTGAAAGAAACAATGCAGAGGTGAAGTCTGCCCCAGCCCCCAAGATGTGCATCACAGATTAAATCCATGTTATTGAAGAGTTTGAATATATACATTAAATAAATGTATCTCTGGTAAAATCAACCTTTGAGTGACTTGCAAACATGTCCCTCGTTTTCTTATCCCATGGACCACTTCCTACACAAGAATTTTCTTTTCTTGGAGGGGTGGGGGGTGTCAGGCATCAAACCACTTAGCCACATCCCCAACCCTAATTTGTATTTTATTTAGAGACAGGGTTTCACTGAGTTGCTTTGTGCCTCACTTTTTGCTGAGGTTGGCTTTGAACTTGCAATCCTCCTGTCTCTGCCTCCCAAGCTGCTGGGATTATAGGTGCTACTGCACCTGGCACCATCCTGTTCTTGACATGCAAGTAAATAGAATAAAAACAGAAGCACCTAAAATTCATGTTTTCTAGAGTTATGACTTCCAAAATCTTGAATCAGAAAGATATTCTGGAGCTTCCATGTTTTTGGTGAGATGACAAAAGAGGACACCAAACTTTAGAGGAGAGCTTGAGCATAATCATCGTGGAAGACTGGACCAGAAAAGAAGGTGGCAAATATTTCATCATTCACAGAACTCAATGTCAGAGAGGAGCAAGACTCCAGTTTTTGGGACTCATAGAGATAAAGATTTCTGAGCTACAGAGAAAAAGACACTTGGGAGCAGAACACCTGGACTTGAAGTATGGCTTTATGGGAATGTGAAGATTCCAACTCTATCTAGGAGCACCAAAAACTAAGAAGCACTTGTAATATGCCCCATAGTGTTCTAATTTTTTTTTTGGTATTTTTCTTTCTCCACTGGAAAGTAAACCTATTACTGACACCCTAGAAGTAGCCCTACATCACTGGCTCAGGATTCCAACTTAAGCATTCATATATGGGGACTGAAGTGATTGTGTCCTTGCTCCTGTTGCCCCAACCCTGAGGGGTGGCTTTGTTTTCAGGATGATCCATCAACTAAGTTTTTATAAACTGTGTTGTATTTAAGAGATTTTGTTGGGTTGTGGGACACACTCCAATAGACCAAATATTAACAATAGACCAAGTTCCTACTACTTGGCTCCTCCAATTATCATTTTTGTGATCTTGGAAAGGTCATTTCATCCCATCATTCTGACTCGGCTGTGGCTCTCAACACTGAGGCTCAGTTTTCTAGTCTATGAAAGGGGTGCCCAGGTTTGCAGGACAGGGTTTGATGGGAGGGGTATGGAGCCACGGTCTCTGCTGCCAGCCCATGCTCCTGGGTCTCACCCATTTCCTTCAGACACTCAGTATCAACCATACTTTCTATCTCTGTCTCTCAATAGAGCCTAGAGTTTCATTCTTTAAACAAGAACATACACATCCCACCCTTGATTGCTGGTTTCTCCTCTATGAATTTTCTACAGATTCTTTATTTTTTCCTGTGAGGTGTAACCAGAACTGTGAATTCCAGGCATGGGGACATTTTTGTATAAACTTGAACAATGCCTGGGTCATCTTAGAGATTCATAAAGGTACCTAAATCCTTTTGTTAGGTTGTGATTGAGTACTCAGACCCTACCCTTTAATGTTTTATGAACAGGTACTTGTATTGGTAATTTTAGGTTATGGAAGTGATTCACATTCATTGTCAAAAGAAAAAAAAAAGTACAGAAGTGTAAAGGACAAAAAGTGAGATTGTCTAATGAGAGTGGTGATTTAAGAGGTGTTTCTCAATAGTGCCAGGGCACCAATGTGGATGGCCCTGGCTCTTTGTAGCTTCTGGGACTTACTAACTGCTGTGGGTGGGTCACTATCCAGTGTAGGCTGCAGACATTGGGCCTGACAACCTGAGCCCTGCATGAGAAGGCCATGCGGTTGGGGAATGGATTTGAGCCTTAGGAACCACTGAAAACCCAGGTGAAACTAGCCACAAGGGCTTAGGTACATGCTGGACAGCATCTCCTTGCCCTGGTCTAGGAAGATGGACAGAGGCAGGAGGGTTCCTGCGGCCCTAGTGGCTGCACTGGCTGGTACTGTCTCTCTCCTTGTCTTTAGAGACAGTGGCTTCAGTCTTGCTGTTTCCCAAACCTGCTGGTCCCTGTAACAGTAGAGTGGGAGACTCAAAAGACCAGGAACTATCCTGGGAAAAACAACATCCTTCATCTGTCATTCATTGCTCCTGACCAGGAACATTTTAATCATTGCAATAGAAACTGAACTGGTGAAGGGGGTGCCAGTGGTCCAACAAAATCCTCAGGAGTCCTAAGAGGAGGGGGAGGTCCGTAGAGGCACATGACAACTCCTGCTTGACTAACAGGATCAGAGCAGGTCTCAGCAACACCAACACAGCCTTCCTGAAGGCCTAAGTGCCCCCACACCCCACTTATTCTCAGGGTGGAAGAAAGGGTAGAACCAATAGAGAACAAGAGCTGCTGTCCATCACTGAGGAGGCCTTCTCTGCTGCTGTCTGTTCTGCTTCTAAAGGAGGGGTGGAGCTTAATTCCAGTACTCCTTCTACCTCCATTCCCATCAGAATCCTCTAAGTTCCAGAAAGCAGGCAGCAGAAACTGAGGCTGTGGCTTAGAAGTTGGATGGGCTGGACCAGCCATGGGGCTATGGGCAAACCCTCCTGAATGGGGGTCTCAGGAGGCACATATATATATGTGGTGATAGTTACTCATTGCTATGGTTTACAGATCGCTTGAGTGGGTCCTCCAAGGGTTCATGTGTAAGAAGCTTGGTCCTCAAAGTGGCAATTATGGAAGATGGTGGAACCTTTTTTAAGGGGAGGGGGCTAGTGGGAGGTTGTTAGGTCATTGAAGGAGTTACGTTCAGAAGGAATCAAGGCAGTTCTCATGGGACCTTGAGTTAGTTCTCTCTAGAAAGCTGTTATAAAAAGAGCAAGTCTGGCTCCTTTCTGAGCTCTGGCTTCCTCTCTTGTCATGTGGTTTCTCCTTTGTGTATGCACTCCCATCATGGCCTCATCCACTATGATCAAATAGTCGGGGAGTCCCTCACCAGAGCCATTGCTATGCTCTTTGGACTTTCAGCCTCCAAAATTATGAGCTAAATAAATCAAGTTTCTTCCTAAGTACCCAGCTTCAGGTATTTTGTTATAGCAATGGAAAACAGACTAATATACTTATTATTATTGCTGCTATTTTTCCCAACCACTCCTGTATCCTGGTAGAAATATTTGGACTAAATCCAATTCTCCAGAATTTAATCAGATAACTACCCTGTGGCAGATGCAAGTCAGTGAAAGAGATGCTGAGGAATGCCTGAAACCCATCAGGGTGGGACCTGGGAGATGTGAAGAAGAAAAGATTTATGTGCTTTGGAACTAAGTCTTCAGGATGCCTGTCTCCAAACATCCAAACATGCTCTTCTCTCTATAAGATGGATTATTGATACTGACATGTCACATCATTAAAAACAGTAACAAACAATTCTGTAGAAACTGTGTTTGTGGAGTTCCGCATCTAAAGTATCTAATCTTGGAACACAGTCTAAGCTGCTGCTGCTGCTGTTGTGGGCCCCATTGGAACCTGTTTGATAGCTGGGAGACTCAAATGAGGGGTGGGCCCAGGAGGCACCAGGCTCCACTGTGGTGGGTGTGTGAGGACATACACAGCTTTTTCTAGGCCTGTGAGTCTGAGGCTGGCCATGAGCTACACATACTCTCTGATCCTTTTGCAGGTCTCTTTAGTGTCAATGCTTACACTTTCGGTTGTTTTTCTGAGACCTTTCCTGGGGGCAACACTTGCCATCAGGTTCAAAAAAAGCATGAACCAAAACACACACCCTTTGAAACATTACGTCTACCTTGTTTTTCAGGCCAGCTCTTCATTCCCACACTGGAACATTTGAGTAGAGCCTTCAGGAACATGCTACTCCTAAATGCACATTGAACATGTGAAGCCTTTTGCTAGGAACATATATAATATCCACAGAGCCTAGCTGAGAAATGCTAGGTAAATTAAATGATATTTTGGCTTTCTGTGTGACTTGAAACCAAAGATTACATAGATATTTAGTTAGGAAATAAAACCCAGACCCAGCAGCTAGGGCATTCAGAGCCTGATTCATGCAGTGGCAGTGTGTGGAAATGACCCCTGTCATAGGCTCCCTCCAGGGGCTGCTTATGCCCTCAGTCCTCTCCCTGACAGTGCCTGCTCTGCATAATGAGGCTTGAGGAAATGGGACTGAGAAGCTTATGTCAGCTTGAGTCTCTGCTTGCAAAATACATATGCAGGTTGGTACACCTCCCAGTATCCGGCAGGATCCAGCTGTCCCCTACAACCTCCCATGCAGCCTCATTCAAAATCTAGTATTTGAAAATTGCAACCTTTCTTTCTTCCACAGCTTTTGGGTACCATACTGTGTCTTTACCACTCCCATGCTGTGTGAAGCCCTAGGTGGCTGGGAGCTCAAGACCACCCTCAGAGAATAGAAAGGACAGCACTTACCCTCCACCTGTGCCACCATTCTTGCTGAAATGTGTACGTGGCTCGCTGGAGGCCAGCTTCAGCAGCTCCGTCCACTCTCGCTCCCACTCCTCCTCTGTGTACACCAGCCCTGACTAGCACAAATGGAAGCCAGTTCAGGAGTTGGGAAGGCCATAGAAGCAATGCCCTCATCTCCCCTCTCCACACTTGCAGCCACACCCGATCAATGGGCTTGGTCAAAGCCACACTGAGTCACCCAGCTGAATAACTGTTAATGTCCTCCAATGGTCACCTTTTGTTTGGACTATATATTTTCAGAAGCCGTAGTCTCTAATTTTAGAGCTAATAAGAGTCTACCACTAGCAAGGGTCATTCCTAGGGATGGGAATGAGGAAACATTAGCCTATACATATGCTTGGCTGGGGGCTGACCATTCAGTTTTTTGAAGGGTCAGTAGGCCAACTTTAATCAGAAAGAAGGCAGAGTCTTCTAAAAGAGCAAAGTGCTAATGTTCTCGTGGTAAGGGACACTTGGTAATCTGGATTGAGCTCACACACAGAGACTGGAAATCCATAGTCTGTACCTGCTAGTAGGTGACTACATAATTCATCATCAACGTTGGGACACTTGAGAGTGAAGGTGGTGGTTTTCCTAATTGGCAAGCCATGAGCATATTGCTGCATCCACAAGGCTGTGCTGTGGTAATGAGGCTCCTCTGACATGAGGTTGAGTGGGGGAGTCTCATTAATCCCAGAAGCTGTCTATTCCTGGCCTTACAAGATGGACTTGGACTTGAGGCCAACTCTGGACTCCAGTATGGCTCAAGGCTGCCTCTGGTATGGATCCTGGACTCCAACCTGGTCCGCAGATACCAACCTCCTTGTTCTGCTGTGTCTGTTGCCACCTCCACCTCCGCTTCAGGGCTTCCCGCTCAGCACCCGTCCTCATCATGGTGTAGAGAGCTTTTCGTAAAACCAGGTCCCGATCATGAAACCCCCACATTCCTGCAGCCAGGAGACCATAAGGAGCAAAGAAGAGAGAAAGGACATAAGGAAGGTGAAAGCTAGAAGAAACTCAAATTCTCCTTCCTATCAGGATGGCCTCCTGTGTCTGCACAGACAAAGGTAATAACATGCCAGTTAGCCGTTTAGTTGTCATCATTCAGAGTTTCTCTCCTTTTGCCAATGCTTCCCTAAGTTCAAATGGGTGAAGGAAGTAGTGTAAATACTTCTTAGTGAAACAATAGTGGGTGAAAAGTGACTACTCTCTTTGGCTATCCACCCCCAATCCTGCAGGTTTGCTTTAAGAGACCAAGTGTTCACTGTCTAGGTCTTGTGTTTGGGCGAGGGACTGCCTTTGAAGACAAGTTGATATGTCCTCACCGAGGGACCCATGATGGGATGACCAATATCATTCTGGCTTCTCCAGGGTTCTTACAGATTTGATGTTCAAGGGCATCTCAACTTCATAAGAAGACTGTCAGTAGATGCCACTGCATGCATCTGAGCCAGAAAAGGGCACCTGTCTCCCCAGGAGAAGGTCTCTCACCTGTAGTGGGTGCTGAGGAGCTATAAAGATATGCCAGCCATCTCTGAGTACATGCTCTGGGTAGCTCAGATGTGGTTAAGAAACCCAGCCAATGGGATAAGCACTGAAGAGGTGTACAGCCCTAGCTATAGGTGAAAAATTGGGTAAATTCTTCCATCCATCCATCCATCCATCCATCCATCCATCCATCCATCCATCCATCCATCCATCCAAGGTGCTAGGAATGTGTATAGCAGGGACTAAGACACATGAAGATCCTAAAACCTGACAGAGCACACATTGTAGGAAAGTAGTAAGTCAGGCAATCATTAAATCACTGCACAATGTACAATGTCAACACAAGAAGGAATGATAAAGCAGATGAAGAAGACAGAGTGGCAGGTGCATTTGTTATGGTGTGAATGGATGGAGACATCAGAGCAAAGGTTCAAAAGAGTGAAGGAAGGAGCTGAGATGCTATCCCAGATGGAGGGAAAGGCTAGGGATGGCCCCTCTGCCAAATGAGTGGTCCATATGGTGCCCTTGAGAAAAGGCAAGAGGGAAGGGTGGCTGGAGCTAGGATGAAGGGGACATGGCAACAAGGAAACAGGCAGGCTTTCAAGTGAGCTGGAGCCTCTGGAGAGTTTGACCTTAACTGATTGCTGTTTGTAAAGGCTCAGGCTGGCTTTGATCCTTGGATAAGCAATAGTCAGAGACTGCTGTGGGCTTTCTAGTAGGCAGGCTTTTATCTTTCTCTACAGGACAGACAGAGGACATGGCCTTCATTGCTCCTTACTCATTCTCTGACTGTTTTAGCTGTCTTCTGGGGCCCTGAGCATTCTCAGCTCCCATGGATCTTAGTGCAGTCTTTCTCACACAGAGGGTCTCCTTGTCCTATACAAGGTTGCCTCCAGGCCTGACTCCAGGATCACTGTCATCTCTATGTGTGCCCAATAATCCCAGTGTAACATCAGGCCCCCTCAGCTGTTCAACAGCATTGCTGGTGGATGTCACATGGCCTTTTGGCAGTCCTGGTTCTGTGGAGTTTAGCTATGCAAGCACAAAAATGAAAACAAAGTAAAGGTTGAATATCCCTTATCTGAAATTCTTGGGATCAGAAATGTTTTAGATTTTGGATTTGTTCAGATTTTAAAATATGTTCTATATATTCCTTATACACATACCTGAAGGTGATTTATATAATACTTTTAATACTTTTGAACATGGAACAATGTTTCATAGTGTGGAATTTTCCACTTGTGTCATCTTGGTTCTAAAAAAAATTCCCAGATTTGGGGACAATTTGGATTTTGAGATTTGGAATGCTTAACTCATACTGGGAAAAAGGGCCAGCTGCCTTTTAGGTCTGAGCTCATTGTATTGTGGGGGATTCTCAGAGGAGAGCCTTGCAACTCTGGTCAGTCATGGCTTAGTCCTCCCATAGATGGAACAAGGCCCAGGGGAAGACTGCTCTTCCCAGGCAGGCCTAGCAGTCCCATTGTGCTCATGGGGTAAGTGCCATCAGAAGACTCCACAGTGGCATGTGGCCTTCCCACCTGTGGTGCTGATGGGGATAGTGACTCTATATACTGCAGTATCTGAAGGATAAAGCCATTTCCATACCCGAGACTTTGCAACAAGGCCTCTGTTTGACATAGATGAGAGATTTTTCTCTTTTATTCTTTCTCCAGGTTTTATAGAAAACAAAGTAAAATGCATTCAATAGAAGTAGAATAGTTAGTATTAAATATTGTAATGAAATATGACCCAAATACTAAAATCACATTTTTTGCAGAATAGCATGGAAAATTCTCCAAAAAATTTAAGATTACTATACCTCATAAATATGTATAATTATTATATGATGATTAATTTATGATAAAGCAAAAGGCATATTTAAAAAAATATAAAGAGAAAATAACAAATTCCAAGCTGTAAACTAGTGAGATTATAATTTTACTTTAAGAATAGATAAAAGATGAGAAGACAAGATGCTAAAATATTAAAAGAGGTCAACAATGAGTGGTGGAGTTATTGATTTTTATTTTCTTACCATAATAATTGTAGAATGCATTTCAATGCCAACCAAACGAAACAAATCAGATATAATAGTTTTCATGGAAAGGGAGGAGGCAGGTGGATGCATTTGTCCTTCACCATCATCAAGTCCATGAAATGTTCCCCTTACTCTCAGTTGCCATACTCCTCTGGGCCTCCCTATGTCCTTCTCAGACCCTGATGCATTTCCCTGAAAACCCTGTACAATCTGATCTTCATCCACCTCTTACTGAAGTCTAGATGGGTCTGGGGCCTAGCCATTGCTCTGGATCACAGTACCCGTTAAGGCCACATTCACCTGGGAAGGTGGGTTTGCCCACCAAAGACCACATTCTTGTTCGAGAGCCCCATTTCCTGGACAGAGATTATGTTCTCCAGGACTGAAGAGGAATAACTGGCCTGATAGTGAGGCCACTGGTACAAATTCAGACTTGCTTTTTAAAATGAATTTGGCCTTGTGCATGTAAGCAGGACCTCAAGAGAATGAATGAACTTTGAGAAAGTCCACTATGACTCTCAATCATCCCAATATTGCCAAATATTGCCACCCATACTCATGTATCTGCAAATATTTGTTTCCTATTGGGGACGCTTGCTGATATGTCAGCTGTATATTCTGACCATGGTAATTCCCCTAAGCAATACCTATGCCTATCTTCTTATCAGTTCAGATGCATTATAGATTGCTGTCAATATGATGGTCCCACCATTACCCAACCTCATGTACAGCCTCCCAATCCTCCTGCTAGAACCCCACCTTGTGTTCTGCCTCTAAACACCCTTTTGATTCCTGCCTTTGTACTTTATTTCCCTGGTGTACCTGCCTGGAATGTCTTCTTTTCTACTCTTTTTGGTTCTTCAAGTTTCAGTAAAGATCTTGACTCTTCTAGGAAATCCTCTTGGATATTTTAGGCCAGGGTCTCTAATTCTCATTCCTGAAGTTCTTACTCAAGGCCTCTTTTATTATGACAGGTCTTTTCTAACATGTGTTTCATTGTCCATCAACCCAGTGAGTTACTTCACCAGAAGGGCCAGGATTATTGACTCCATCTCATGGGAACTCTTCCAGATGATAGTGACATGGTGGCTCTACTTAGCATATGTCTGTGCTTTAACCATGCTTTAACCATGCATTTAACCTGGAGCCCTGCCACTCTGTGTGTGCTGCAGAGCTTACCCAGTGAGGCGGCATGTAAAAGGCAGTTTCCATCCCCTGTCGTGGCCAAAGGAAGAAGCCGTTTACAGCTCGTGCACACGGTGGACCACCAGTTCAAGCGACCTGGAACAGAAGTTCACCTTAGAACAGAAGCCTAGAAAAGGCAGGGATCACCAGAAGTGTGTTTGCTAAGCAATCACAAAACATCAGTGAAAGATTTTCTAAAGAATCTCAGTGGGAAGATAGAACATTGTGGCCACTTTTTCTCAAATAAAAAAAGAGCAAAATAGGAGCAAATATGAGTTTAGAAAACTCAAGAGTTTTCTAAATTATATTTAATGGTAGAAACAAAAATTATAATATTGTATGTCTCAATATATACCCAGTTCATATTTAAGACAATCATATTATGAAGGGTGGAGGATGAAGAAACACAAAGGCAGGAAAGAGTTATAGGTTTCACTAAATGTGGTTAAATGTCAACTCCAGTAATCTTTGATAAGGTATATATGTATATATGTAATAGTTAGAACTACCACCAATCAACCGCTATTAGAGTTACCCTCAAAATCCAACCCCATCCAATTTATTCTAGAAAACAGCCAGTATTACCTTGACACCAAAATCCAATGAAGAAAGTACAAAAATAGAAAAGTGTAGAATAATATCTTTCCTGGACATGCTAGAAAATTGTTAACAAAATATAAACTTAGCAATATATACAAAGAATTGTAACAAAATAGCACCTAGCAATATATACAAAGGTTTGTACAACATGACCAGTTATTCTAGGGATGCAAGGCTGGATTAATATTTTAAAATTAATCAATTAATATTCCATAGTAATAAACTACAGAAAAAAAGAACCACATAGTCATAGCATGAATGGAGAAAAAGCATTTGATATAAAATTAAATTCTCATTCATGATTAAAACTTTCATAAAATGAGGAAAAGAAGGAAACTTCCTTAACTTGATAAACAACATATACCAAACCATATAGCTAACATCTTACTTAGTGGAGGGAGATTGAATGCTTTACTTCTAAGTGTGGGGAAAAGGTGAGGATATCCACTCTCACAATTGCTATTCAACATAGTACCAGAAGTCATAGCCAGTGAAGCAATAAGAAAAAATAAATTAAAAAGAAAGAAAATAAAGTAGAACCTTTAGTTACAGATTAGAAAGGAAGATATAACACTATTCTTATTGGCAAATGCCAGGGTTTACGTAGAAAATCAGATGGAAACTTAAAAAAGAACTCCTAAAATGAGTTATTTTGTCAAGGTCTCAGGATATGAGATCAATACATATAGATCAATTGTATTTCTATTCACTAGCAATGAAAACATGGGAATTCTAAGATTATAATACCATTTATAATCACTCAAAAATGACTTAGGTATAGATCTAACACAAGTGTCAGTACTTATATGCTAAAAACTATAAAATTCTCATGAAAGAAATCAAAGATCTAAAACAAATGGAAATACATACTGTTTATGAATTAGAAAACACTCAACATAGTAAAGGTGAGTTCAATCCAAATTGACTCTAGGTTAATAGCAATTCCTATCAAAATCTTAGCAAGGTTCTTGTAGAAAGGAAATTATTACCAACTAGAATTCTGTATTTCAGATAAACACAGAATTTATTACCACTGGACCTACAGTAAAAATATAAAAGGTAGAAGGAAAATGATCCTGGATGAAAGCAGGATTATACAAAAGAAATAAAGAGATTTGAAAGGGCAAATATGTTGGTAAATGTAAATAGATACTGACTGTTTAAAGTGACATCAGCAATGTCTTTTGGGAATTAAGTCACACGTAGAATTAAAACAAATGACAGCAGTAGCACAAAATATGACAATGTGTAATAAATGACGTAAGTATTATGGTCCATACATTGGCCAGGAAGTGGTAAAAGTACTAAGATCTATTCCTAAGTAAATTCTAATAATTCAAAGATGCATTTTATAACCTGTGGGATACCCACCCCCAAACCAACAAGCTAACAGAGGAGAAAAGAGAATAGTAAATATTCTTAAATAATTCAAGAGAGTACAAGAAAGAGTTAAAAAAGGAACAAATAAATAACAAGATAACATTTAGATTTAAACCAAGATAATAGATTTAAATTAACATATCAGTATTTAAATATGAATGAACTAAATTATTAAATATGAATGATCTAGATATTCCAAAATATCTGAGTCTCATTTATACAGAATGAATAAGTTCTATAGGTCTATTGTAGACCACAGTTGTTAATGCCATATTGTATAGTTGAAATTTGCTAAGGCATAGATATTAAATGTTCTCACACACCAAAAGTGGTAACTGTGTGAGGTGATGGATGTGCCAATCAACCTAATGGGGGTAATCATCTCACAATGTACATCATTACAGCACAGCGAAGCATGAGCCTCATATTTATGTCAGATCATCGCATCCCCAAATCTCACAGGGGTGGTTCAGAAGCAGGCACAGGTGGACACGGTACACTTAGTGAATTTGTGTTACTGTTGGGGAACCTCAAGCTTAATGAATGCTACACTTTTACAATAGACTGCAAGCAAACCTTTCCAAACTTCGTTCTGGAGGGAGACATTATCTTTATTTTGGTGAACAGTGAACACACCTGTCCTCTGCCACAGAGAGACATTATCTCTATTTTCAAATAAGAATTATTATACTTTGTAATCTCCCTATAGTGGTTCCAAATTCTGCCTCATTGCTAAGGCTTTCTGCTTAGGTTTTTAGTCACTTCAGCTGTGTTCAGCAAAGGATCTCAGGGAAAATCTTTCAAAAAAGTCATTTACAGGCAAGGTTGATATATACCTAAAATTCCTGAGTGTCACCAAAATCTTTCCCTCCACCCCAATTTTGCAACAACTCTCAGAGTAAAAGCAATTTTATCTTTGGGCTTCTCAGGTTTTCCTGTCTCCAGTTTCTTACCCCTTTTAATTCTAAGCGCTGTAGCAGCTTTCAGATGCTCTTCTAAAGGAAGTTCTACATTTCTCTCTCTTTTTTCACTGTGGCAGGCAAACAGGCAGGTTTATCATTAGCTATTCCATTGCTCCTGGAAGCAGGAGATGGTCAGTGGATTATTTTTTTTTTGAATATCAATCCAACTCACATTCCTGGAATAAATCCAACTTTGTTATAATGCATTGATGGGTTAAATTTGCTATTTTTTTTGTTTATAGTTGTTATGATTGTTCATGAGAGACTCATGGGTCTATCACTTGTCAAATGGAAATGGCATCCAAGAATAGAGCTGGCTTGGTCCCAGTGGCATTTTGGGATTACATGAAAAAGTGACACAAATCCCTCTGAAGGAAACTATCCTCTACACTGCTGCCCAAAGTAAAAGTGCTGACCCTGTGGGGCTCTTGATACACAGAGTCCTCTAAATCCCTAGACCTGGATTACTGATGCCTCCACTAAGCTAAAATCTGGTGGCGTTCACTGGGTGGTGCAGCCGTTCGCTCCAGCACCAGCTATGCAGGACTGGAAGCAGAGCTGGCCATCTGTTCACTGGGCAGGACTTGAGGCTGTACTCATAGATCTAGCCAGCATTCATTGATGAAGCTTATTATATTTTTACTGATTCTTGGGATATTGTCAATGACCTGGCAATTTGGTCTGCCTTTTGGGAAACTACAGACTGGTAGATTAAAGTCATCCATCTTTGGGACCACAAAATGGGATAGCAAATTAAAACTGCTGATCCAAATATCTTGGCCACTCACATCAATGTACATAGTGAGCTTTGTCCTCTGATGAGATGATCTGTGGAGCCTGCACCTCCTAGACTGACACCATGGCTGCCTGAGCCCTTACCAGCCACACAGAGCCACACTCTCACCATCACAGAGGGGCAGAAGTGAAGGATTTTATATTAGGATGCAGAGGTTGCCACTGTATGTATCCTCAACTCACTGTCTCATGGACAAGGAGGATATGCTGCTTGAGATGCTGCTCCTGCCTGCTCCTGGAAGACTGACTTTCAGGGCTGGCACTGCCTCACTGCTGCTGACACGTTCTCAGGTAAGAGAGCTGCAGCTCTGGTCTGTCAGTCTGTAGCTTTGTCTGGTGAGTCAACTCTGACAACACCATTTTGACCCTTACGACTCATGTATGTCTGCTTTTGGCTTTCAGCCTGATGATCATGTGCCTTTTATTAAAAAGCTATCAACAAAGGGCTGATAGTGGACATCTTCAATGGGGTTTCCATGTTCTCTACCATCCAAAGGTACCTGATATAATGGAGCATGGGGTGGCCTTCTAAAAAGTAGCCTCAAAAATATTTCTGGTTGTAATGGTCTGAATGTTTGTGTCCCTCAACAGTTCACACATTGAAACTTAATCCCCAGGCCAGTGGTGTTGAGAGCTGGGGCATCTAGGCAGGGGTTCATTTGGAAGAGCTCTTCCCTTATGAATGATATTAGTACTCTTATAAAAGAGGTCTGAGAGAGCCTGTTGGTCCATTCTATCATGTGAGGACATATAGAAGAAACCCTGTGCAAAGAATGAGCCCTCACCAGAAACCAAATCTGCTAGCACCTTAATCTTGGGATTATTAGCCTCTAGAACTGTAAACAACAGAATTCTGTTGTTTCTAAATTAACCAGTGTAAGGCACTTTGTTCTAGCAGCCTGAACAGACTAAAACACTGACCCTCTCTCCCTGCCTTTCTCCTGATGTGCACTTGTCTCAGGCAGCTTCTGGGCTTTATAGCTGTAGCTGCTGTAGACCAAGTGTCTTAAACATTACCGTTCCCAGATCAAGTTGTCGGCTGATATGGTTCCTGAAAAAGCCTCTCTTCCTGGCTTGTACATGGCCACCTTCTTATCATGTCCTCACATGAGCGAGTGAGTGAACTCTGGTGTCTCTTCTTCTTACAAGGACACGGATCTCATCATGGCGGCCATCCTCATGACCTCATTGAAACCTAATTTCCTTCCAAAGGCTCTACTTCCTAATACAATAAAATTGGGGTTTCAGGCTCCAACATATGCAATTTTGGGGGATGTGACTGCCTTAGTAAGGCAGTTTGTTCACTGTATGAGTTTGTTACAAAAAGGTATCATCTCCTTTCAGCTATTTCCTGGTTAG